TATTGGCCTTAAAAAATTCAATTTCAAGGACATTTAGAATATTCTTGGATACCACATGCATTTGTAAATGTATCCATCTATATTTATATCTATATCTACATCTACTTTTTTTCTTTTGGAAAGACAACACCTTTCTACTCTCTAAGGTCTTCCTTTGGGGGTTGTTTTTAAATTCAGTCTCTTTTTTCTTTCACTAGTTTTGTCCTGCTGTATTTCTCCTGTATCCTGAAAATGCCTTTCCCTCCTTGACATTTAGACTCTTCAAGTATTTATAGATTGTTGCCATGTCCCCCTTAAGTCATTTCTTAGACAAACTATGCATATTTAGCACTCGCAATCAATCCTCATACATCAATCACTCCAGAAGTCTAATCATTTTTTGCAGCTTTCTTCTCATCTTCCTCCAATATGTGAATATCCTTGTAATAAGATGCCTAAAATTAAATACAATGGGTCATGTCTGCAGCTCATGTAAATCAGTGTAGCTCTGCTGAAGACTGTGTTGATTTCTGCTAGCTAAAAAGCAACATTTCTAGTGAGAAGATATCAAAACTGTATATATATATTTCAAGTGAGCTTGAAACCATACAGAGCTTTTTTTTCATAGTAAAGCTTCTTTGAATTAATTTCCATCACTTAACTATATTTTTGAATGATGAATTTCCAGTTTTCTTTCTGTAAAACCTCAAAATAATCTGCATTTTCATATTTTTATCAGTGTTTTGAGGAGCTCCTTCAGCTATAATCCAGCCTGTAGTAGCTGATCTACCTTTGGAACCTTCTACCATCTTTGTCACTCTACTGGCCCCATCAAGCAGCTTGTCCCTCAGCGTGTTTAATCCAGAATCATCTCTGTGTCATAATCCAACAAAGATCACACAATCTCATAATAGAGAAAGATAACCTGTTTTTTTAAACTTTTTCTTTTTTTCGAACTAGCTATGGTGAAAGGGCAAAAGTATCAGCCCTAAATTGGCTCCTAGTGGAACAAATTAGCATTGAAAATAAATAAAAATGAAATTTTAAATAACTTACAAAATAAGCTATCACTGCTAGCTGCAAAATGGTGATTCTCCTTCATAAATACTGCAAAAGTGCTGCAATATTGAATTTCTCAGGACTCATCTCCTGTAAGACATTAGAAATACACACACACAATTAGTGAACAACACTATTTCGCTATGTCACTATGGTCAATTCTGTCCTGAATTGAAACTGTTTAGAAGGAGGGCCAAGATTTCTGGATTGTAGTTTGTTAGTAATGGACTATTGTTTTTGATAGTACTGAATTGATACTCTTTTTTTCTTTTTTTTTTTTTTTTTTTTTTTTTTTTTTTTTTGTCAATAATGTGTACTACAAGTGGCTATGCTTTGGAGAAATCTGTTTTATAGCATCTTCTCTAGGGAACACTTTGTTCAGACTTGAAAAAGTTCAGGAGCCAGGATACTTTGTAACTAATAATCATAAAGAAAACCTATTGACCACTCTGCTATTTTGTAAACTATTTTACATATTTTTTTTCCCCTACTCAATTTTTTTTTCAATTTATTTAATTTTTCTTTGGTCTTTTGATTTTAAATGAGCATTTTCTGCTAAATTTCCTTCAGAACAGGTTAGTACAACTGCTATGACTTAAAATTCCACTGGGAAGAGTAAACCAAATGCCATTTAAGCCATAAGCCATGTGTCAAAAGAACTTTGCATTCAATACCAAGAGAGTCCCATAATGACATGGATGACAGTATTTGTTCAAATAATTATGGTGATGGAATTGGAATAAAGAAGATTATTTTTTTGTTGTAAAATATATATATATATATATATACACACAGGGAGAAAAATCGAAGCTTTCATGACATTTTGTATATATTAGCACTGTGTTTCACCACAGAGATTATGGAGAAATTTTGAAATTTTTAAATTTTCCTCAGTATGAATCAGCATACAATCACAGTTCAAATAGTTTGACTTTTAGATACCATGTAGGCAGCTGAAATATACTGACAACCAAAATAGTATGACAACAGGAATTTGGCATAGAGAACACCTAAGGAATGAGGTGATCTGCTGTGTTTGTCAATACAGGGTTGTTCCCACTCGGGACATCCTTGCATGCTATGCAGGGTACTTCCCTAGCTACTTCACATGATGAAATTCCTTTCATCAACCACAGGGATTCAAACTGCACTCTAACTGTAGATTACAGTTAGGTCTATATTGCTGACCTTCTAGACCTCTTAAATTTTAGTCCCCTCTTTTGCAAGAGGAACAGAAAGGGAGTATAAAATATTGCAAGGGAGTAGAAAATATTGATTTATGAGGTATGGAAAACTAACAGGCTAATATTGAGTTGCCTCCTCTCTCTTTTCTTTGAAAGCTCAAGGCTGCATTGTCAGAGGATTTATTGTGAGTGACTTCAGAAAAACTGCTCAGTGGCTGCTTCAGTCGCTGATGGTGGACCAGTAGCTACATGTACCTGTTTTACATCAATGGTTTCTTGTCACTGTAGACAAAACAGAGGTTTTTCTCTTCTAAGGATGAAGGATGAAATTGAACTGTGCTTCCTGTCAGAATTCGTTGGGAAGGAGGAGAAAAGAAATGGGAAGAAATGGTGAAAATATTTGAACAGTCTACTACTATTGCTAGTTGTCCTTTTGCCCATGCCTTCAATACAGTTTTCTAGGCAAACTTAAGATGCCACATTTTAGCCCATTTGGTCCCCTACACTCAACTGGTAGTGCAACTTCAGTATCGGGGTATTAAGGAGTAACCATCCCTGCCCTATAAAAAAAGCCTGTAGAGTCTGCCCACAAGGAGGTACAGAAGGATCTTGAGATTGACAGTGACACTCAATTATTGACTGATAATGAAATGGTCAACAAAGTACAAGATACTGCTCATTGGGAAAACTGATCATGTCTATGCAGATACAAATATGATTGCAAAATTAGTTAAGACTTTTAACAAAGGGATCACGAAATAGTTACGATGCTTCCTTGAAGACAGCTTGATGCCCAGAAAAGGAAAATGTGATATCAGTTGTTAAGCAAGGAAGGTAGAATGAAACAGAAAACATAATTAAGGCAACATATAAATCACCAGAACATTTATATTTTTAATAATACAGTGCATTCTAATATTCTCATCTGAAAAGAGTTAGGTAGAAATGGAAAAGCAGGAAGGAATTTGACAAGGATGAGCAACAGTGCAGAACAGCTCTGGTTTTAAGGGAGATTAAACAGAATAAGACTTCCAATTTGGAAAAGCTGGGATATGGTACAAGTATATCAAATTAGAAGTGATGATCATTCACTAACACTCAAAGAGAGCAAGAAGTTGCCAAGTGATATTTTTCAAGTAGAAGGTTTAAAACAAGTGAAGTACTTTTTTTAACAGGACTGTAATTAAAATATAGAACTGATTACCACAAAATATTATGAAGAACAAAGCTAGAAATGGATTCAGACAAATTTTAGGCAGAACAAAAAATCCTTCAGGGGTTGTTAAATGCAAAGATCTGAAGCCATATCTGATTTAAGAAATCATTAAAACACCTATTATCAGATACTGATAGTATTCACACTTGTTTTGTTCTTATATAACTTCCTTAAGTACACAGTGTCCACTACTGTCTAATCACGGAGCATTGTTTCATCTTGGACTTCAGTCCTTTCAGGTGTTCTTCTTTCATTGTCTGCTAAATAAAATGCCAGTATTCAGAAGGAAAGAAGGCTGCCTGGTCATTTGGAACCTGTTTTGGAGAGTCAGTTGGGATATAAGATTGAAAAAATTCTATGTTTTTCTAAATGTCACCTGCAGAGTTTATGAAAGTAGCTGAAGCTCCTCAGAGCTTCTGAAAGCAATCATTTCTATGCTTAGAAATGATCAACATACTTGTGAGGGGGAGAGAATGAGCATGTGCAGCAGCAGTGCTATCTCCTACACATCTTGTCAATGTGCTTCCATTGCAACCTCCTCATCACAGGTATGCTCAGGGAACTGTCCATACCTTGGTTTCTGCAGACATTGCTCTAAAGTACTTCAGCAGCATAGATTTATTTCTTTTGAAACATCAGACATCAGATAGAAATTAAAATTTATCATTCAACTTTTGGCTGTATTGCTCTGAAAACAACCCAGGAAAATATGTTTCAGAATACAAGCTATGAAATACGGAAAACTATCAAGATTTAGATATATACCTCACTAAAATTTTCAAATGTCTGTCAGTTAATAGTATTTTGTTTTAGTTTATATTCTGTCACATTTTAGTAACTTTTTAATCTACCATTTATAGTTAGAAGTTTTGACTAACCAGATATAAGATTCTTCTATTTTTTTTTTTAAAGTTAATTTTCTAGTTTATCTGAACAGGAGCTTGCAATGCTGCATGGCTGCCAAGATTTGTCATTAATGTGTGAGTCCAGAGGTGTGATTGGCTATGAAATTGTATCCTTCCAAAATACTATTAGTTTCTCCTTAACTTTTCTAAGACCAGAAGAGCACTGAGGAAGTGCTCTCATAAAGCCAGTATACTCTGATTCCTCTGAAGATCAAGACAAGGTTGTAGAAGAAAGTAAGTCTGTAGCTTGCATACAGAAGCTTGATTTTACACAATAGTACTATCTGACAATTACCTTTCTATTATTCTCATTATAACTTAAATAAAATACACTCCTGTCCTAAGGGTTCAGAAGATTTTTCCTCTGTTTTCTCTGTTTTGATGGGTTTTATAGTCAGTCAATAGTAACAAAGCCCTTCATTATAGATAGTGTCCATCCTGTAAAAATGGAAGAAGTAACAATTCTTTTTTCTTTCAAAATTACATTTTGGTAGAAAAGAGTCCAATTTTTAACTAATATTACTTTAGTTTTTTGGTGTCGAAAAGAAAGATTTCACTAGATTATAATTACAGGGATTTGGGGTTGTTGAAGTGAACATCATGGAAAAAATAACCAACTTCTCTATTTCCATATTTTTCAGCCTTTGGGGACTGGGACCTTCAAGAAAAGGAAGGAGGAAATAACATCTTACCTTTCAAAACTAATTTGTTTCACATTGGTAAGCAGCACTTTCGCTTTTATATGTTTATTTCACTTCAAAGCATGACCATGATACTTCATCTCCAAAGAATGATTTTAGCACTCTACTGTTTTAACACAGTTAAGCTGCCAGGAAGTCAAGGCAAGAGAGGAAGTCATTTGTTGTACATTTAATGGTGTGAAGTATCCACCAGGGAAAACTTGAAAGATTTTTCTGTTTCCTCATAAAAGTGTCCATGAATGAAATTCCAATTTCCTTAGTAGTTCTCTGATTAGCTTTTCACAGCTCTGTCCTGTGTCAGACAATTGGCAAGAAAACAAGAATCAGGATTTTGTTGATATTCATGAATATTACACCTTTATCATCATCCCATTGGTGACGTCTCCTGGATTTGCTATGAGGGAAGCTTCACAACTGCCGAGCTTATCTTTGGGCACCAGTCCTGTGGTGCTCTGCAACTGCACAAGGCTGAAGCTAATCTGCTGCTTAACTCTGTTCCTGTGGGGATCTTGAACACTGCAGCAGCTTAGAGCCAGCTCTGTGGAGCTCAGGCACTCTGTGAGTCACGAGCTGCTGCGTATCTGAACCATCACTTACCCACTGGGTTTCTTAAAGCTTGCTTTGGACCTCCATCACACAGGAGTCTGCACTCACTGACTCTTCTGTAGACCAGGGTTAAAATGAAGAATATCTTTCCAGGAATCACCATTTAGCTCTTCCTTAGAAAACAAATACAAAGCTAAACAAAACACTGTTTAGAGGAAGCTTTGAGGGGATGTTATGCTAGAGCTGCATTACACAGTTCTTGACACTCTGAGGAGTTGAATTAATACCATAGTGCTCCTCTAAGCAATATAACTTCCTTATTTTTTGAGAGAATTCCTGGAACAGAAAGTGCAGATTGACTTATTTGCAACCTACACTGAATCGGGTATGGTATACTAGAGCTCATCTTCCCTCCTGAAGTTGGTTCAGTATTTGCTTTCAGTTAAATAGAGAAAAGCCTCCAAAGAACCCCTGGAGTCACTCTTTATGAGACTTTTGTGGTCTCTTATTTGTGTTCATACTACCATATGTGTCTATATGATGAAGCCAATCTTATGCTTAGTTTTCCTTAAATACTTTTCTTTTCATAAATACAGAGTTCATTACAAAAGAGAAAAATGTTTTATTATTACTAAAATAAAGGACCCGGTATAAGTGGCTTTTTATGAAACTTATATTTTACTGCTGTGAGAACTGTTTAACCGTAACAAAACTGTCATGTAATCCCTTCTGCACATAAATAGTACTTATATCACCACCATGGACAACATTTTCAAGAAAAACTTACGTGGGACTATTTTCTAGCTCAGGCAGTAGAAACAGATGTATGGGTTTGCATGCTCAAGAGGCTTTTGTGCATTGTATCGACGAAGAAAATGTTCTTGTATCCATCTGAAAAATGTATTCTAAAATAAAATTCCAAAGGTTGAGTCTTAACGCTAAGGCATTAAGGCAAAACTAATAATTTACTGAGTGGTCTTAGAGATTTCTTCTATAGATAAAAACAGAAGTTATTTCAGCATTTAGAAAGAGCAGTATGTACTGAAGTGTGGAAGTGTTGGGTTTGCTGTGGCTGTTACTTTAACACATTTTCTGATTAATTCATTAATGCGTCAGCCCTCAAAAATGAAATGACACTTCACTGCAGCAGTCTGAGAAAATCCTGATAATACCTTAATCTACAATATTTTCAGCAAACTGCTTGAGGTTTTCAGCAAGAAATATTTCTCTGACAGAGTTATCTTTTAAGAAAATCACACTGAGTCTGCCTCATAGCACATGTCATGCAGAACAAAATTCAATATTTTGGTCAATAACATGGCAGCAACATAAAAATGTATGATCTTCCGCACCAGGTCACTTTAAATCCAGTCTCCTGTGTGAAACCATCCTGCACAGGACATGGAAGGAAAGTCTATATGAAGAGGGTAGGTACAGTGATACTTTCTCTGGCTTCTAGTACTCAAAAGTTTTACAAGTTTTGGAACAAGGAAAAAGATTTTTTTATATACTCTCTTAAAAAGAACCACAACCGTAAGAGAAACAAAGACAGTAGAGTGAATTTTTTTTTCTTTAAGGTGTTGAGTCTTTAAGATGTTGTGGTTTGCGGTGAGGAACAGTGGTGTTCCACTTGCCATGGGACTTTTTTTCCATTTTATATCAAAGGAGAAGACTGTTTAGTTTGTACTAACTTGATGAGCACAGAGAATTGGGCTGCTATCAGCCCAAATAAAATGCCATGCCACAAAAAAAGCAGTTGAGCATTATTTTTATCCACCCCCATCCTACCTAATAATCTCTGTGGCTGAGATTATTATCTGGTATACTGCAGTGCTGGTGTGTTATCACTCTGGAGATTCTCAAGGAAGAGTAAAATCCCTCAGGAGAAAGATAATGGTCACCATAACTGCAATGTTTATGGCTGTTTCTCAGATTGAGTAACATCAGATGGCTGTGTGCGAGGTAAGTGATGCAGTCCAGTGTCACTGGGGAGCCATATGACATAGCAATGACTTCTGAAAAGTCCCACTGGGCTGGATGTTAGTTCCCTAACAAAATAATGCTACTACTCAACAGCACCTAAGGGTCTCCTTTTCTATTGAAATGTGGAAAGAGAAAACAAAGAAGTAAAGGAACCTGGATTCTGTGTTTTATATTGTTTGTATAGTTCTAACACAAGATAGCTTTACTGAAGGGAAAGGATAAAGAAGCTAATGAAACTGATAGGCAAAAAGAAGTAAGATTGTGCAAGCATTGAGCCAGAGGCTGTAATCAATTAGCTGATGGCTAACCTTCAGTACCCTACATTTCATCTGCCAGTAGCGGTGAAAGATGTACAGCTGAAAATTACCCACTGCAAAACCACAAGTCTATAGAACTCTAGGCATAAATACTTTAAAAGGAAAGGATCTGCTCTAGTATAGATTCCATCACCTTGATAATCGGCAGCCTTTCAGTGGTATCCACTTTATAAACAGAAGATCCTTGGAATAGAGATGTGAATGCAGTTGTTTGACATAACAAAACTCTAACTAGTCTCCAGTATTTTATTAAGGAATCATTAGACTGAAATGCTTCAGGCGAAATCTTTCTCCATTGATGTTAGCAGCAAAATTCCCTCTGACTTCAGACAGCAAGAAATAAAACCTTTTCAAGACATTTTTTAAGCTGGAGAATGGCTAAAGGTAAGGAACTAATTTTGATTAAATGGAAATTTATATCCATCTCACAAAAATAACTGTAAAAGAGATTCTATTATTTTTTACCTCATTCGCTATATTTACTGATATGAATTAAACTAAGAACTGGTCTTTGAGGGTCCTTTTTTTATTTTCTGGAAATATTTACTGATGATTTTTTTCAAAACTGTGTTTTGGAAAAGGTGTTTTTAAGAACAAAAAGATAATCGTCTTACAAATAACCAGGTAAGTAACCCAACTTGTGGTGCAGTAAACTGAAAAATCCTATAATGCTACAATGAGCAGTACTTGGGTAGAGTCTTTTGCCAAGTGTTTCTGACTCATAATTAGAGTTTAGCGAGATATATCTATCTCCAATATTCAGTGAGTTGCCCCCGTGCTCACTGGGCGTAGTTTGGTCACTTGGGGGACATTGTCTGTGTTATGAATTCTATCTGATAGGTTTCTGTCTTTTTACTATACTAATATGGATCTTTAAAATAATTAAAATAACATTTAAAGAGGAGCATTGTCAAAACAGAGAGCTAAACAATAGGTTATCAACATAAATTTTCAAACAAATGAGATTTCTTGTAAGCAAACAGCAAAATTATGCAGATGACAGGATTTGAGTGTAGTGAGGCATTTTAACTTTGTGTACTCCTGTTGAGAAAAGATGTGAACTGCCCACAGAGTCCTTGCAATGACCTGGTGATAATTGCAAATGCAGATGACAAGAACTCAATTAAAAGAGAGAATTCTTTCCTGGTTTGTAGTGACTAGGGAAGAATTGGTCAAGAACAACAGGGTAAAAGTCAAAAGTGAGTGAGAAAGGACATGCAATAACAGAGTTCATGAGATGCATCATACAAAAAAGAAAAAACAGCAAAAGATTTCAGGACAGTAAGATTCATTATACTCAGAATTGTCTTGTTAAGAAAACATTTGAATTCAAGAAATCCTAGGAGTTACTTAAGGGACCAATATTAAGCTCATAAACCCAAACTATCCCCAAACAGAAAGTATAAGATTTGTTAAATTATGATCAATAGTGCTATCTTTTGACCTTTTCAGGCAGCATCTGACAAGGTGAAGCTGGGTCACTTCCTAAGGGTAGGGGAGCATTGAATAAATGTAATGCTGCAGAATCAAAAATTACCAAGGCACACAACAGATTTCAATCCCAAAGGCCATGATGATAATAAAAATCATTCTTTCATCACAGAAAAAGATAGGACAAAGACAAACTAAATAGCTATTAAAAAAAAAAAAAAAAAGCACTCAAGAACCGATACTGACAACTAAAAATATTTTTTATTACTTTTTCTGAATCACTCTTATTTAAAAGAGTTAGAGGCAGTTCAATCTTACATTAATAAGTAACAATTAAGAAAATTTAAGCTCAAGGCTCTAAGTGGGAAGGAACAGGTTAAATACTTAGTAATAGGTGACTTGTTTTCAATTAGCTGATGCTCATCAGTTGGTACTTGATGAATTAGCTGATGAAATATCAAACATGATAGAAGTAGCCCTAAAAAGTCAAAGACAATGGGTGATGATCAAGAATGAATGTGGTAGTGATCTTTGAAAGGAATGTGAAACAATTTTAGGAAATTAGATAAACTTCAGTTCTTGGAAGAATGCTAGAACAAATAATCAAACTATTTGTAAGCATCTAAAAAAAACCCCAAAGAAATTAGTCACTGTCGACATGGATTTGTCAAGACAAAATTATATCAGAATAATCTAATTTCCTTCTGTGAGAGAGTAACTGTGGAGAGAAAAGAAGCAGCAGATGTCACACATAGCTTTTAACACTGCCTCATAATATTCTCAGAATTAAGCCAAGGAAGTCTATTCCAAACAAAACTATAGAAAGTGGGCACAAAAACACTTGAATCATTTTACTTACAAACCACTTACCAATAAACCCCTGTCAAACTGGAATGATTCTACGAAATGTCTTACAGTTCTAGCTCTTTTATTTTCCCTCAAGACTGGGAAGAAGTAATTGACATAGTACCTACTAAACCTGCAGGATGTTTCAACAAATTGGTGTAACTTGGGCGGATCTGTGACACTGGACCCTTCGTGCTTCTATTCACATGTATATCTGGAGTCCAAACCCATATTTCCTAGCACGTTAAGCATAGAAATAAGCAAACTCTACTATTATTAGGCTGTGTTAATGCACATGGCCACAAAACCATATTGTCTTTTCTATCAAATTTTTTTGTAGTTTCATATCTTTCATTATAAATTTTACTCCTTTTAAAATTCCTCTCTAAAACTTGTCATAACCTATTAATAAAAATAAATTGGAATAAGCTGTAATAATTTAAGCGCTTTTGAAAGGTACTGAAAATATTAATATTTCATTGGGTTTTGATAATCAACACTGTCATTCTCAAAAAGATTATGAGTAGTTTATTTTTAACCTTCTCTGTCCCATATTATCTGGCCAGATATGTGGATAACATTGTGCATTTCTCTTCCTGAATGAACAAGCAAAAATCTTTAGATTAAAGTGAGATTCTTTAGAATAATGTTTCTTACTTTTATTAGTACCATTCATAATTTGAAAAGTTGTTTTTCACTGCTATTTTCATTATCTATTTGAGTCACTGTTCCTATAAATATTTTTCAAATTGCATGGAGGAAGATAAAACATACAAGAATGACAGAAAAAAAAAAAAAAGAAAAAGCACTTTTTTTTTTTGAATGGAAGTTTCACTTTTGGAAATCAATTAGCATTTTATTTTTGTATTTTTTTTGGCTTTATAGCTTGCAAAGTTTACATCGCCTGCCAATAGGTGGCACTAATAATTTCTGCATTAACTGAGTGGTTGACTGTTGTATTTCAACATTGATGGAGTTATATCCTAATATATCTCACAATTTCATTGTCTTCATTTGGTTTTGTCTTAAATTTCATGTTTAACCAAAAGAGATTGTTTGTATAAAAATATGGGTGCTGCAGATCTGAGAAAATACTGGATCTATATGCACAGTACTGATACATTATTTAACTCAAAACAGCTATTTTTTTTTGTCTGAAGGATCAAATATTAGTGTGCCAAATCAGCAAAAGCTGAAAATTGCTGATGCATAGCATCTGAAGGATACATTTAGCATCTGACATAAAATTGAAAGAGTTAATAACTCCAATATAAAATTCATATTTCTCACTTTGACTTAATTTATTTCTTAGAGAAATATTTCAAATGTTGTTTTTAGAATAGTTGATGTAAAAAGTGTTTTTCCATAGTGTCATCTGAATCTTATGGTTATGAGTCACTTTGCTACCTGTTTATGACCAACACTTGATTTTTGGGCACCTGCAATTATCTACCCCTTACCTGTGAGCTCTGATTTCTTTATTACCCTCTGTTTCAGCTTCATGGTGGCACCATCGTACTGCAAGAACTGAAAAGATAAGGCAAAGAAAAGTCAGTTGACTGAGTTTTCCATGCAACTCTAAGAAGAATCAAGTTTCTTCTGGCTCACCAGAGACAAAGGCATACATACAAAGTTTTTGAAAGAGCATACACTGCAGTGGAAGCTGGATGCTACCAGCCCAAGGTAATTCTCTTCCCCTCCAGCTGATTAAAATTGAGGATATTGACGCTGCCAACATCATGCCAAGTTCTGCTGAGTTCTCAAGTGAGCTAGCCTTTGCAGATGTGCTGCACAAGGTCATTTATCATGGCTTGCACTGTGCTGCAGGCCCAAAATATACCTGTTGTGTCAATAGACACAGCAAAACCCAATGCCACTCCAAAGCAGAACTCATAAGACAAGGAAGCGAGGCCAATTATTTTAGTAACACAACTTTCAGATCTAGAATGTCATGATTTCTCAAAGAAATCCAGTTGAATCAAATTTTGTCTTTTACACTGTGCACTGAAAATCTGCCTTTTGGAGGATTCTTCCCACGCTAGCTGCCTTCTGATACATCACTGCAGCACTGGCTGTAGTAGGCATGCTGGGATAGAAAAGAGACGTCAAATAGAGTTAAAACTGATATGTACTTAGGAGAACTGCTTTCTCAGTAGTATTTGGCAATTAAAAGTAAATTAGTACAGGCCTGAGGATTACAGGAATGTGGATGTTTCTGACATATTTCCCTGTGAGATGAGCTGAAATTTCTGTTAGGAAAGAAAGGTGGCAATAAAGGTAGCACACAAACACCACCTGTGAAAACCAGAAAGCATCTATTGACCCCCAGCATGCTAGAGGCTTATTGCATCATGTGTGAGGAGAGATAGAAAAAAATCAGAAAGGGAAGAAGAGAAGGGAATACAGAATAAGGACCAAAAAATTGTATCATAAAGGTGAGAGGTAAATATGAATTAAGCACTACAAATATGAAAAAAGCACTACACAAATCATCTTAACACTGGTACGTTACTGCAGTACAAATCATAGGCATTTTCCACATGTTGTATAGATGAGATGAGTTATGGCCAATTAATATAAAAATGTCAGCCTGAGGCACTATCCAGCATATGTAAAAACTACATCTATCCTGAAGAGACAATTTAAATGGAAAACTTCCTTGATTATTGGTAATAAGGTTGCACTCAAAACAAGGAGGAAATATGCTGTGAGTCAAGAGAATTTTGCTGAAACTCTGTGAAACACAGTTATTGCCTACAAAAATTAGTAACTAATAACCCCCTTCAGTTCATGCTTCTTGCTGGACACCAGTCTATAAGTCAGTTCCCTGCTGGCCTCTGATTATGCCCAATAAACATCACTTAACTTTTCTGTTCTCTTCCCACCACACTCTACTCCCAGGTACACACCAACAGGCAATGCAGTGCCTGTGTTTTCACAGGAATACAAAGGTAGGATCATACTAGACCCTAAGGTGAAACACTGATAGCCCCAGCCCCAAAGGGACAGTCACATTTTCATCTGTGCTCTGCAATATCAGTAAAGGGCTTCATATCGTAAGGTTACCTCTGGTACTGCTGGTTACAAAGTCCTCAGTGGAGGGGGTCATTGAGGAGAGCCCAGTATTTGGGTACCTAATATCCATGCTGTTAACTCTGGATCACAATCTTACATGGTTTTATCTCTGTAATGCCTTGATGAACTGGGAAATGTCACTATACTGAATTTATAGGCAAAACATTAGGCATCAATACATTGTGAGCTCAGGCTTATGAAAAAGCGATTCATCACAAATGTGCCAGTTCTCAATAGGCATATGCAAAGTTTGTCACAAGTGCAAGATAACTCAGATGTCTCTGGCTTTTCCTTCAATGGTTCTTCAAAATACTTAAAAACAATAGAAAGAAATTAAATGTTAATGTCTTTTATGATATCCTATGTTAATTTAAAATAGCTAGCCATTACTGTTGACTTATTTGTTATAATCTTTTACTCTGAATTTTTACTAATTGACCCAAACTCACAGTGGACTATGTAATAAATAAAGAAATGGAATCTGATTTTTTTTTATTATTCTAGGCTGATTCATGAAATGTCTTTACCTTAATTTCTTGCAGTGTTTTGGGATGTGATGCTTGATGTGATATAAAATCTCTTATGTTTAAGTATCTCAGAAAATGTTTAACAAAGAAATGACACCATCATCTCCTGCAGTGTACTGCAACATGATATTGGGTTGAAAGGGCAGAGAGGGAAGCGTGTTTCAAAAGGACAGCATGAGAAAAAGAAGGATGCATTATCTATCATTTTCACTATAAAATCTTGTGTTTCAGAACCATAAAGTGTAGCAAATTACACATAAACTCAGCTATTAGAGTTGATATAAGAGATCTTGTTGTGCTCACAGCGGAGCAAATATCAGCATAGGTATACTCATGAATATAAAATTTTATATGTAGCAAATGTCTGTTTAGGAACAAATCTACTGTCATTATAGATTGTGGAAACACTGCTTGACATGTTTGGGAATGTACTGTCAAAATGAATTAGATCCCACCTTTATTCACAGAATGACGCTGTTGCAAACGAGAAAAAAACTGTCTTGCTCTGTTATAGATGCCTGCCCATTGCCTGTGCCTCAAGGGTGGCAAATGAATGGCCAAGGCATAAAGCAGTATGTAATGTCAAAGGTAAACTGACACTCTGAGCAATACAATTAGAATAGGATTGTTTATTATTGGTCCCAAACACCACAACAGAAATCATTCCCCCTTGGCTAGATTTCACTCTTCACACTGAGTAACCTCCTGCGAGTCAGCCTCAGTACACATCTGTGCCATGCCTGCATCTATTTCTAGTCCGCTCTATATTTTCTAAAGTATCAGTTTGGACCTACCACTTTACAATTTTCATTGTGTTTAACACCACAATATCTACAAAAAAAAAAAAAAAAAAAGGGAATTAGCAGTCATTTTGACTCTGAGACAAGAGGATAAAGAGTGAGCTTTCAGGAAAGGCTTGAATATTGTGATGCTCAAGAACAGTAAAGCACACAATAAGCAACTGCAAAACCTAAATTTAAACACTAGTTTTTAGATTATTTAAAAAAAAAAAAATCAAAAAGAAAAGCAAGAAAAAACCTCAGCCAGGGAAAATTTAGGGACACACCTCTCAGTGTACAGTAGATAAGAAGAATTTGGAAATTGAAAATGTGATTCAAAACTCTGATATAAATTATTCCGTCAGAATAGGAGTGAGAAAAGTTGAAGCACACCTGAAATTCTGTCCCTCACAAAGAATTTCAGTGTTTATCTCGGGGTGTACTGAGATCCAACCATAAAACTCAATCAGTGGCTCATACAGAGATTTTCTTATTTGGGCAGAAATCCACAAAGGAAAATTTAAACTCCTAAAGAGCCTAAATAATTATGAGATTTACTTCTTGGCAAAAACGACGAATTTATCAGTACAACCTGTCTCAGAAGAATCATGGGTAACCAGAAGTATCGCTTCTTGTTTAGCTGAAACATGAAGGTTGGGAATCGGGAATTGTTTTGATACAGGGCTATTTGTTATGCTAGCTCCATACTGAAGTGTGAATAATGTTATAACCACAGTAATTGCGTAGCAACTGCTAATTTGAACATAACACATATAATGGAGAGATTTGTATAGGCAGTAGAAATTAGGAGCTGAGGGTGGGCTTCACCTCATCTAATTTTTAAAGTTCTAAAATGTTAATGTCTGTCTGCAAGATGGTCATCCTTAAGCTCTTCAAAAGAGGGAAGCTCCTACATATGCAACTGACCTATTGAAATTTCTCTTTTGGGACAGTATGAACTGTGCTCCAAAAGTACATCTCTTTCTAGTGAGAGTTTAGCTGGAATGTAGATGTGCATGCTATAGGTATTTACCTTTGGTCAAAGGCAATTGACCCACGTTGCTTTATCTGGTGTTATTAGTAAATGCTTTGTAAAAAACCCAAAAGTGTAAGAGCAATAAGTATTTAAGTCTTTATTCCTTGGAACACTCCCCTAGGCAATATTTATATCTACTATTCCACCAGTCCCCTGGCAATGAAATGTTATGAGAAAGGAACTGAAGTAATTCTGGGGAGCAAAAGTTTAGTAAATCTGAATTTTTTCTTAACAAGTTTTTCACATCTATTGTCACAGAATCTGAAGTTCTTATGATAGTTTTAGATGGGTTTGGTTAGACTTGAACCTCAAGAAAGTTTTCATTTTTGTTCAAAGAGATCTGACTCTAATGCCAGTCATGAAGTGTCTTTGCAAAGGTGGGATTTGAGAAAATTTTCTTACAAATCAAAATCTTTTGATTTCTTCATAAATCAAAATCATGTTCAAGGTTACAAAAGAAAAGACAACCACTTTTTCCCAAAACACAGTCACAAGAGGATGAATGATGTTATCTTTTCCAGGACAACAAGGTCGATTTTTTTTTTTTTAAATTGGTTTATCATCTGTAGTATCTTTTCCTTTCTAACTTACTAAGTTCTATAGTGGAAGTTGAGTTCTGGACATGATGTGCAACCTGTGTATGTCAGAGGAAAGAACAAGTGTCAGTGTATTATTCATGTTCTTTTTTTTTTTTTTCCAAAGCTGAACATATTTAAAAACAATTTCAGTAAAATATCCTAAGATGACTCTGTATTTTGCCAATAACATTTCTGGTACAATCTGAAGTATGTCCAGTACCTGGAATATTCTGAAAGCTTTTGCTACCAAGTTTAAGAATTTGCAGACTTGAAGAGTATCTTTCAAATGGGAGTGGGATGGGGGTAGGGGGTGAGTCTGTGCACAAATTCAGTTCAGCAAATTTTATTTGAAATATATATTGTGGTTTGCTCTTTTTCTTGTGAGATAAAGATACTTTATAATTTGAGCAAAACCATTCTAAAACAACTGAATTCTTCTTAGGGATAAAACTCTGCAGAGTGTAGCTGTATGCAAACAATCATTTGTCTGTGTTTAGCTTCATTATTTTGGCTTTTGCACACAGCTGATGAGAGTTCAAAACTTGTCTACCAACTGCTGCCTTCTTGTGTGTACCACAAAGAATGTCTTTAAATGCAACAAGAAACAGTGGAGAAAACAAGATATTGAAGATTTTTGGGAGCCAAGTCACAGCTCTGTTCAACATCATTAATGGCAATAAAAGTGTCT